CACCTTTTCTTGTCGTACACGTGGTTTGTTATCGTCGAATTGAGATTCTCGCAAAGTCTACGCTTCCCATCGCTCGTTAAAGAGCGTAATACGGCCGGTTAATTCACGCAGATGCTGCATTTTCTCGAAAATCCCTCAAAGAGACTGTGTCAATTAGCGGAGCCGGGAAGGCCTTGACCGGTCTTCCCTTTGCCGGCGATGACGACGATAACGGCGTAACTGCGAATCGTTAATTGCTGAAACGCGCGATTGTTGGAATATTCCGTGTTGTAGACGTGCGTTACGAGTTACGAGTAGCTTAAACTCGCTTCTTTTAACTGTCTTTTTACTACAAGCTTTTTCCTTAATTTTATTTAAAAATCCACTTTTATAAACGAACTCACATTTGTATTTTATAGCGTTAATTTGGGAATTCTGTATTCAACATTTATTAGATATCAATTTGTCGATCAAACCCATATCCGTATGCTAAAATATTTAGGCTCGCGATCTCTTAATTTCATTTCATTGAATTTAATTACTATTCAGACGATTTTGATTTCCAATATTGGAACAGTCGTAAGTAAGTAATAGACCACTAATAAGTTCGCGAATAAACGGGCCGATGTTTTCGCACTGAACTTTAGTAATTAATCGAGCGCGGCGAAAGAACGGGCCGTGGAAGTAGGTGGCTAAAAGCGGTCGCGACCGTTTCAACAAACTCCCTTCGTCCACCCATTTCTCACTCCGCGCCAACCCTTTCCCGCCGAGCTCTCCCCTCGCAGTATTTCATCTCACTTTCTCGTTACTTCCGCTTATCCACCACGTGCGTTCTCGTATACATTAAATTACGTTCACATGTATTTCAACAAGAAATCTAACAGCATGCAGAAAGTCTAATTACAGCGATGAGAGAGCTCAGAAATAACTAATTTTTTCAAAAGAATTACCAATTTATTTATTTCTTTCAGAAAAAGGGAAAATGCTCATAATTTTCATTCTGTGCATCGTACGAACGTTTGTGTAAAATTATCGAATTCCATTTTTTGCCAATGGAATTTCTTTTCCCTACAGTGATTTTTAGATCTGCGTGGATTTAGAAAAGTTCTCATTCTTGGAATGGAGAAGAATTCTGCCGCACTTTTCGCGGGCTATATACGCGAGAGTCTGAATCAGCAAGTTCCGAGGACGTTTTAAATTTCTTTAGAGATAGCGTTGCGAAACGGCGTGATCGCGAAAAATAACATGAAAAAAAAACGAATCGAGCGCGGTAGCGAATGACTTCATTTCTCGTCGCAGCGTGCGGGAAAACGATTTTTTCCACCCCGCTGTCGTAAAGCACGGTCGCGAGGCGAGTTCATCTCCTTAGCTTGCGCACTTGAGAGGTTTAATTGAATTACCCGACATATAATCCATTTTCTCCGAACGGCGATCTGAGTCACGATCGTCGATTCACGTAATTGCGATGATACTCTGCTTGCCAGCTTGTAAATAGTGTAAGATAAGGTAGAATTCGTCGTACAACCGGAGAGTAATTCGATCTGTTGAAGCAAGTGAGAAGAGACAGCTCTTCTTTTCTCGCGCGACGCATTGTTTTCGAGAAAGCCGAATTTGAGAGTTCGTTTGATATGCGTGAACATAACTTGATTAACATATCTATACATTTTATTCATTATTTCTTCTTGTTGATTTGCAAACGTACACGGAAAGAACAATTTTGCTGAATCCAGATCTGAAAATAATTTTTGTTCAATAATCAAAATAATTTTATACAAAAGTCAAAATGATTGCTAGAATATCAACACGTTTTATAGCAATGCTTATCAGTTTTAACATTCCAACAAATTATTTTGGTGATTCAACAAAAAATTATTTTTAGATTTGTATTTAGCAAAATTTTTAAACAAAATGGTCCTTTGCGTGTACGCAAGTATGAAGATATTTACGGACTATTTGATCTTTATTGGTGACGCGAAAGAAGAAAAAGCAACTTTGCTTTCTTTATATTATCGGTTATCTTGATAATTGGAAAATTATCTGTCTTCTGTGTATTTAGCAATAATATCGTGCCATAATAGAATTCTGAATGTTAGAGGTTCTTTATTCATAATTCATTACATATTAAGCTCGTAGAGGAGGAATGATTTTGGAATTACAATTGAATAATTAATAATTATAGTATACTTTTGTATACTTTTCTTCTTCTCTTTTTCGAAATAGCGAAGGTAATTTCTGCGAAATTTAACAAAAATAAAAAAACAAAATATAAAAGAAAACGTCAGAGAATTATTCTATAAACGTAACAAATGGCTAGTAAAGAACGAAGGTCTACTTCGACTTATGTAATTGCAGCGACTATGACCATCGTTTTACTAAAGCATTATATTGTCACATTTTGTTAGCGCGTAACATTTGTTTGCGCACTTGCGAGCAATTTGATGAACTTCCAGGCAACATATTTACCTACGAATCGCGTATAAGAATGGAATTCGATCGGTTATTCGTGCTGTAATGACCGGTCGCGGCCGAGCGATGTTTGCAGAAAGAACGTACTTATTTGCGCCCATTACAGCCCGAGCCATATCTTCAGCGTGCGTTTTTTGTAATAAGATTTATCGGGCCGTAGGCAGCGCGGCGCCATGGATGTATCTCGCGCGGTCTGCTTTTGGTTAATAACACAGAGCGGGTCGGGACGGCGCGGCAGATACAAATTGCGCGGTACCGGCGAGCGAGCGCGCGAACCCGCGCGCGAACAATGGCGGGAACGATGCCGCGCCGGCGATTGTGCGCGGCCGGGGCGCGCTTCGGAAAAATGTGAGCGGAACGCTCGCCCGGGCTCGGGGAGTTCAAATGGTATACGGTAACGGACTGACGCTGACAAGTTTACAATCGATAATCCTATAAATCCGCCGTCGCCGTCTCCTCCTCATTCAAGCAAATAAATCGATACGCTGCTGCCACGCTTTAGTTTTCGCTAATCATAGCCCGCTTCTCTCCCCCCCCCTTTCCCTTTCTGAAATTTCGGTTTTTGGCGTGTGCACTGTTAAACCTATAGTGTCAAACTGAACCTTATTTAAGTCGTCACTGCTCCTACTTAATAAATAGTTATTTTTAATTAAAACATTATAGTTATTCTTAAATAAAATAATGAAATTTAACTCAAATTTGGATTAAATTTGAACTGTTTTAAATTATTTAATTCCATTGTTTTAGTAAAAAAGAACTATTTATTAAGTAAGAGCAGTGACGATTTAAATAAGGTTCAGTTTGACCCTATAGATTTAACAGTGTGAAATGTTTATTTTTGAAATCTTAACCATAGATATCCTGTCTGTGCTATCGCTTTTATAATTGGGTAAAATTTAGCGAAAGAGAATAATACTTTTGTCCGGCGCGGAGAGATTTAATTATATAATATTCCTCCACCGGTCGTTCACTGGTGCATTTACCTCGCTCGTGTTCCCGCGCGGAAGACACGGGATCCGAGGGCGATTGACGGCGAGCTTAATTAAGGTAATAATAACCGCGCGAGTCATCGTCTAATTAATACACGGCGGGGCAAGAGGGGGGATGGGGACTCTTTTCGCGACCGTCGAACCGATTTTTATCGTTTGGAGGATGCTGGTGACAAAAAGCCGACGAGTAACGGCGCGCGGGATCCTCGATCCTTATCGCCCGGCGGCTATTAAGTCGTTCCGCGTCGGCGGCGTGCGGGAGAGGAGGATCCGCGAGAAAAGCTGTAACGGGGATTACGAGCCCCCGGTATACCGACTCGGTCCTTCTTAATAGCTTCATTCGATCGCGAAGGGCCCGAGGGGTAATTGATGGCCCTTCATTGTGTCCCGTCCCGTCGCGAGAGTATAGCGCGCTTGGCCAGCGCGGCAATAAGGGCCAATGTCCCTCTCTCGGGGTGGGAAATTACCCTCTCGTGCGTTATTAATGGTTTCGTAAGCGCCATCCTGGTCAATAAGCAAGCGGCAGGTCGAATTCCTGTCACGTACGCAGCCCCGGTGTTTTGGGTACATTATACCCTTCTTCGCCACGCGTGCCGTGCAGTTTCGGCAACGCCTTCGACAAATAAGCAATTAAACGCGATGTTTCTCGCTGCAGATACGCGAGGCATCGTTTATCCTCTCGAGTTTCGATAACAGCGAATACTCGATGTGTCGATAAATAAGAGGCTTTTGGATTTTTTAAGTGCTTTATTTAGATAGGAGACGCTATTTGTTATTTAATTCTTAGATAAGTAACGATTTTGCTTAAATCGAGACTACTGCTCTTAAAAGCTCATCACAATTTGACGTAATATTATAGTGATTCTCTTTGACGCAACAAAGTGATCACTACCTATATACACATATAGCTGCAGCACGACATATAGAAGGGTGAACTAAGGTTCAATGTCCTCCTTTGACAAAGAAATATTCTGCGCGTCTTCGTGTCCCCCGCCCGCGAACGCTCGTAAAGATCGACGCGATTTTCGCTCACAGCGGGGCTTTATCCACGGTTTCTACACCGATCATCCGTTTTTCCCCCAAGCAGGCGCGGCGTTCGTACACCGCGTCGCCACCCTTCGGAAGCAGACGAAGACAAAGCACCACGACATAAATAATTTATCTCGGAGGCGGTACCCGCGGCGTGACGCAACGCGGCGACGTCGACGGTCTGCGTTGCATTAAATATGAAATCCAATATAAACTTTCGAACGATATAAACCTAGAGTATACCACCTGGCCACTATTACGTCGCGTACACATTCTCCCGCGCAACCCTCTAATCTTTTAATCATTTCTGCGTTTATTTTTGCAACATCAAGTGGTTCATAAAAATATATATCAATCTAAACTCCGGAGTGAGAGAAGAGAGAGAGAGAGAGAGTCGCAATTGGAAGCCCTTTTTGTTTAGGAACAAATTGATCGTATTTGACATTTAATTGAATAAGTTGTAAGGCATATGGCGTGTACGCGTAACGAATGTGAAACTTGACGAATGTGAAACTCATCTTGCTATTTTTTCACCAGGATGCAGAGACAAAGCCGGCGTAGCTCGGAGGTGGAGGTTGCGCTTATGCGCCCTGTAAGCACAGCTGGCTAATAGCCTCGGAGCCCGTCCCCGACACCCTGCAGCCACACCAGGTAGGAATCTTTCGTTTACCTTGTACATGCGCGTGCATATACTCCGCGCGCGTCGCGCTGCAGATAGTCTGCCGTCCGCCTCTCTGTGTTTTACTGCACAAAATCAGGATCGCCAGGCCGTGTTCTCCCGAGCGTGAAAATATCCGTACTCCGTACGCCCTTACACGCGAGGCGGTAATTAGCCGTTAATCCTTTCGCTCGCAAGAGAGAGAGAGAGAGAGAGAGAGAGAGAGAGAGAGAGAACTTGATGCGGGTGCAACGATGAACATGTATACTCAGAGTGTTGCTTTGAAGTGTCGAAATGCACCGCGAAAGAGACATCCAACCGCATTATAGTGACGCGCATCGCCTGGAGTTTCCGATTTATTTACGAGACACTCGCGAGATCGATTTATAACAGTATTATTGACACATTGATAAATGCGCGCACACATTTATCCTATCAGTCGCGCTGTTACTATTCGTTTTCGTATTTGAAGGATTGTCTCAAAAAGTGTATGGAATATATTTCAACAATATATGT